TTGGAAAGCAGAAATATATATAATATGTTTCTAAACAGAGAAAGATAAATGTGCTATGGGGGAATTCTCTTCCTGAAATATTCAAGTAATCCAAAGGTCTAACTCACCAACACATTTTTCTTTAAATTTAAATACTGTATAGAAGAACAATTTTCAGTGTTACTAAAGAAAACAGCTAAAAGTCTAGAAAAGCAATGCCTGAATACCTTCTTAGGTAGCCAGAAAATTACTATCATTATTTATTACAGTGGCTTGCTTAAAATATAGCAGGAAAGCTGAGAATGCAATTTGCAGTTAATTTGGTTAGAAATCAAGTACAAATGGGATTCATGGCACCATTAGTATTTTTGTTGTGCTACTCTTACATGCAGTCTTTAAAACATCGTTCTGGTTACAATGAATAGGAAAGTAGTTCCAGATATTAAAATTGAGATTAAGAACTGAACTTGTTACTATGGATTATGATAATATGAATGATAAATAAAGTAGCAACAAGCAAATTTTTGAGGGAATCTAATTTCTGCTGCACTACTAATTATGCAGATACTTGTAATTTTAACCATGGAAATTAATGACAGACTAATAAGAACAAAAGAATGTAAATTTTCCAGTTTCAGTAATATTTACATAGTTCATTATAAGAATACAGACAAAGTTGCTGTTTTAAGATTTTGCTTGAATTTCAAAACTTGAAAAACTAGTGGAAAAGAGGAAGAAATAAACATCAGTGAAAAAATTGTCTAAAGTTCACTTGTGACTCAGAACTGACACATTTTTTCACATATCAGGTCCCTATAAGCTTTTTACCCCTGCTATCATAGGAAATCAGTTAGGATGTTGGCACAGAGGAGGGAGACTATGAAGGTTATTAGACTATCAGTATAGGCAATAAACAGTTTTCCTGTTCAGTTTCAGGCTTGTGTGGGTTGATATGTGAGTAAAAAACCACGCTGAAAATTGAAGGATCTACAACCACCTTCCCCACAGGACTTGTGGAGGTTCCTAGTAAAAAATTGTCTCTTTTATTGAATTTTGTGGAAACTACTGAGAAAATTAATTGGAGTAAGTGGCAGCAGAACTTTTACCAGCAACAGCAGTTCAAAAACCTCAATCAGTTTAATTGATGCTCCCCTTCTCACTCCTTCCCTTTTATCCATGTTGTGAGTGGGGAGCAAAGCCTCTGTAGAAATGCTGCAATTTTTACAGGCATATGTGTGGAAATGAGAGCACTGGTGTCCATTGGGTATGATAACAAAGAGAATAGAATAAGGAACTTTTTATTTCTGACTGTGCCAGCTCCTGGACTTATTTCTCAGGAGCCCACAAAGCAGAGAATGTGGAGAGAACCTAATGGATTCATCCTAATGGAAGTAATGGAAAAATATTATTAGCACATTCATTCACGTGCTTCCTAGTGTGGGATGAGAATTATGCTAATTTTAGAAATCTGCATTCTGTAGCTCAAAACCCACAAAGTTCATCAGAATAACTGATATGTGCATGCACGTGAGACCATTTTTTTCTTTGTTTTATTTTGTTCTAGACCCACTGTGCCAGAAAATGGATGGGGCAGAAGTAAAAGGGCAGCTGTGGAAGTAACTGAAGCTGGCAGAGTGCTGGCCACTGTGTCAGGTCTTCAGTGCTGTGTGGTGGCTGGTGGATACAGAAGGGAAATAAGTGAAGGAGAGATATGAGGTGTCAACAAAAGCTTCCATTTGCATAAGGGCAGCTGTGCTTGATGCTGGTTTTTCTGTACCTGTTATTGGAAACCAGTGGGAGGCAATCATTACAAGAATCCATAAAGCTAGCTGTTAATTGAAACCCAAATTTAGTTCAAGAAAAAAAAAGAAAAATTCAAAATAACTCTATGAAAGAGATTAAGTGCCATGGGAGTTATCTAAGTCATGTACAATTTTCGGAAAATTTGTGATACATGTAAGGCAATCTGAGGATTATTTTAAAATATGCACAGATGATATCCACTTGATTGTGTCTTGTGAGTTGTGTTTTGTTTGAGGCACACTGTGATGCAGATTTGATTGTTGAGGACAGTCTGTGCCTTGGCTCCTTCAGGTTTGCTTGTGCTGAAGGGCTCCAGTCAGACTACTTGTGTCAACTTAATTATCTAGTTAATTATAAAGTGAAAAAACACATGAATTTTCCATAGTGCTGAGATTCTAAATTAAATTGTAAGCTATATTTAACTCTCAACTAAAATTGATAATGTTTAAGGATCCAGGGAATTTAGAAATGTTACTCATGATAATCAATGTGATTAACAAAGACTATAATGAGAAGTTTAAAAAAATAAAAAAAAAAAAACAAAAAAGGTTGCTATGTTTATAATCGAGGTCTGAATCTGTGTTTTCATCTCCAAATTTATGAATCTCTAGTGCTCAGATTAACAATAAGTTTGTGTGTGTGTGTGTGTGTGTGTGTGTGTGTGTGTATGTGTGTGTATGAAAATGGAGATATCTCAGACATTTTTTGTAATACACAGTTTGTTATACTATCATAGTATCATAGTATCATAGGTATAATTTTAATCTTAATTCTTCAAAATAACATTTAGAACTTCACACATTCACACTCCTGTATGAAGAAAGATCACCAGTCTTGGCAGATACTCAGAGCAGAAACTGCTTTTCTCTGCCTCTCAAAAATGTAGAGTAACAACAGAGTGAGTTTGGTAAGCATTTTGAGCAATGCTTCCTTTGAAGCATTTTAAAATACTAGTACGTATTCCTGTCTGTATTCTGCTTTACCAGCTGGGCTCACACAAAACTTTGAGTGTCTACCCAATTTTTCTTCAAAAGGAAATAATAGAACACTCAGATTCATACTCCCATCTTCAAAAATTATTTTTTCTCTATTCACATACTCAAGCCATCTCTCTGAAAAAGAAAAATTAGATCTTTCTATGAGCTATCCAAGGTGTTTCATGATCCAACCCATTTTCATCACCTTTCTCTACACAGATCTTAGGTAACTTTGAAGCACTGAAACTCTGGGAACTCTATTTTCTTTTCAAACAAAAGAGTAAGGTCTGTTTGATATAGGGATATGAGAAACAGCCATCAGATTCAGAGAGTAACACCAGTAGGAGAAGCTCTGCTTCAAACAATGTTCAGATATAGCAGAACTGAAAGATATGAGACACCACTTGCCACTGTAACAAATGAGTGGAAAGAATTACCATTCAGTTGTTAAAGCTTATTTATTTTCTGAAATAGAAAATTTGGTTTGGTAATTTAGTCTCTGGTACAAATTTCTGCACTCTTCATGGTAAAGAAAGGGAGAGGTCAAATAGTTTAATTTGTCCTGTGTGAACTGAATGAGCTCAATCATTCTGAAATTCTGAGAAATCTGAAATTCTGACAAGAGTGAAATTTGCCCACAGTTCATGTTCACATGCTTATCAAACTAGTAATTGTCAAAATCCCAGCAAAATGACTGAACTCCTGAATTGACTGGCTTGCACAAAAGTCAATATTTTATTACCACTGCAACAGAGACTTTAAAGCTATTCCAAAACTGTATTCTTCATTCTAGACTGCAGTGAAGGGGAAAAAAACCAATAAAAAAACAAAATACAAAAAACCTCACACCCCAAAGCATGCAATTTAGTTCATCTTTACTCAAGAAAGATGTCAAATACTTGTTTCTATTTAGACAGAGTATTAACCTGAAGGAAGTCAATAAAACTGTTGACAACAGCTGAAGAATGTGAACAAGAAGCCTAGTCTTGTCTTATATCTGTAAACAATATATTTCTCACCTACACAGCAATCACTATTTTAATATGTTTCATTTAAAAATATAGTATACTTGCCTTTTGATACTAGAATAACTCTACAGTAAATCCAGCAGCTCTCAAACAAATTTTTACTCTCAGAGTAACTGTAGGTTTGACAGATAAAATATTGAAGCTGAGATGTTAAAAATAAGCTTTTTAGGATTAGTCCAAAAAAAGGTCCTTTGAGATCACATGAGCATGTTTGAGAGTGGCTGCCTTACAGAGTGGCTTCCTTACATGCCCCTTCCAAAATCATATCCTAAGTTTTTGATATGCAATTTTTTGGGGGATGGGGAGGTGGCAAAGGTGTATTTAAAATTCAGAACAGGAACAATTTAGAACATAATAAACATCTCAAAACCTTAACTTTTGCAGTGTTAGGATAACTGTATAACTGAGAAAAGGAAAACATAAGAACTTGTAGAAACTCCCTTAGGTTACACATCTCAAGTACTGTAGCATCTAAACTGCATGACAACATCTTATTGCATGAGTACTTAGCACATGGCCTCAATATAGAACCTGTCTCTTGTGAGGATTATTAAAACTCATATGGAACCTATTCATCCTTCTGAGTATATTATCCTCCAAAAAGTTGTTGTGGAGCCAGGAAAGCTGTCGGTGCTACTCCTTTACTTCGCTTTTCTTCTGAAACAGAACAGCCTCTCAAAGCACATTGAGAGCACTAAAGAGAGAAACTTTTACAAACATATTCTTCTTTTTGAAACACTTTGACAGGATTAGCTTTTTGTACACATACCTGTGCAGAAATTATTTTCCTACATAAATTCCAGTGTCTAAAGGGCATGTAAATGTGCATGATCTAAACAGTCCATCAGATTTCTTTCTATTGGGGCTGATGGAGTATTAGTGTTTTCAAGAGCAGAACTTGGCATTCTACTTTCAGCACCTTTTCTTTTGTGTGAATTCAACACAAAAATACCAGACATTCAGAAAGTTTGTCTCTGATTTTGTTTTAATTTCTCAGTTTAGTAACTGAAAATCTTGTCTTTAAACTATTATTTTGTTGTTACTCCTCCTGTACTTTAAGGAAATTATTTTTGAAAATTGCTTATGACTTCAGAAGCATCTGAGGCTGCAAAAGAAGCTTCTCTCTATATTAAAAAAATATTAAAGTTTTGCATGATCTGAACTGAATTTTAGTAGTATGATCAGGTTTCTAATAATTGCTTTTCTTTTTCAGGAAAGCATAGATTTGGGTGAGATCATGTTTTCCCTTTGTTATTTGCCTACTGCTGGAAGAATGACTTTGACAGTCATCAAATGTCGGAATCTCAAAGCAATGGATATAACTGGTGCATCAGGTGAATCTACTTTTTTAAACAAGGCAGAGTCTATTCAGGAAGGGGATGAATAACAGCTCCTTGGATTTTGTGTATCTGACATGGCTGTGGGATGGAAGTAGCCAAGAATGGATACAGACCTTCTTCAGATGGAGTGGCAGCCAGTGTGCCTGTTCGGAATGGCTGTACCTTTCCTTTGCATTTGCAGCATGATGAAAGCAGTGTTTGCCAGGGTGACTCAAACCTTTGCAACCTTTTACCTTAGCAATATAACATTCCTACCACAAATATTGTTCTCATGCTACCCACTTGAATGGTTTGAGTCCTAATGCATGCACTGATTATCTGTTACTCAGATCCGTACGTCAAAGTGTCACTGATGTGCGAGGGACGGAGGCTGAAAAAGCGGAAAACAACCACAAAGAAGAACACGCTGAATCCTGTTTATAATGAGGCCATCATCTTTGATATCCCTCCAGAGAACGTGGACCAAGTCAGCCTCTCCATTGCAGTGATGGATTATGACAGGTAAGCACAGTTCACTTTCTGACCATTGAGACAATTCCTGACCACTGCAAGTAGCTGCTTTCTGCCTCAAGCTTACAGGCAGCTTCAGTGTCACAAAAGGTAAAGCCTTGGGGCCTTTTCATGAAGCAGTTTAAAGCTTCCACACCTCTTAGAGCACATGGCATTTTATCTGTGTCATAAATGACTAAGATGAGGAAAAAATATGGCTCAATTTTCTTTCAGGCCACTTAGGCCTGATATACATTCTTGTCCATTTCTGGGGACTGGACTATGTACAAATTTTATAAACCACGTATGTCTTTGAGCTTAAGAAAGTCCCTCACACCTCTAATTTCTATTTAAATAGCAGGTATTTGAAACTAAAGAAAATTTCAATTACTAAAAAATAATTAAATGCTAACTATGTCATTGAACTAAGCTGTAATTATTTCTTCAGTTGATTCAGTAAAATAACCTTTTAATATGCAACCTTCAATAGGTAATCTTAGGGTTCAGCCCTCAGTGATAACATGTCTTAGGCTAATTATCTATGGCTTCACTGAGAACTGACAGGAAGAGACTCCTGCTTAGAGTGGCTCAAGGACTGCAGGTTGATCAAAACTGACAGAACCCTGCCCAAGCAAGTCTGCTTCATTCAAGTGCTATTAGTAAAGAGCTCTTGAGATTGCAGGGCAAATAAACACTGAAAGTCCAATTTAGTAACAACACCCTTCAGATTGCTTCCCTGGCCATCAGATTTCTGGTTGTTCTCCAAGTTCTGCCAGGAAGACTTTCTCAGTCAGATGTGAGAGCAGCACCGTGGTGCCATTAGCAGGGAAGGAGCACAGCAGCTTGCACATGTTCAGTCCTCCTCAGCTCCTCCCAGCACTTGCTAAGGGGAAATTGGAAAGCATTATTCTAAGGTCAAGCTACAGAAACTTTCTGGTGTTTCTCAACCATTTTATGGCTCTGTGAGGAGCACAAAGTATTGAGGTATAGCCTATGACCCTTACCTTTCACATTTTTGACTGAACTTCAAAATATCACAATAGCTAGAGCTAAGGAATAGTTTATTAAAATATCTCTGAAGCATTTGCAGCAGGAAATGTATTCCTCGCAATTTTTCTTCACTTTCCTCTCTCACAAAATTCAAAAATGTTTTTCTTCAGATAACTTTGTGTATTATGATCCTTTTCTGTCCTTGTGTCTTTTGGGTTGTAACCTTTTAATGGCAAGGATTATGTTTTCATTGCTATTTTTATAGCTGCTAGAAGCACTCTGGTAGTGGCTAGAGGTTTTTGATGTTACCTTTACAGAATTTAATTTTACTATGCTATCATTAAAACTAATATCTGTAATAAATTATGTGAAAACTTTGGCCATGCATTCTGTGCCACACTAAGCCAGTAAACAGAATTGTATATCAGATGTTATTAAAACTATTTTTTATTAAAAATAAATTCCTTCTCACTCTACAATTCTCAGAGTAGGGCACAATGAGGTCATTGGAGTATGCCGGACAGGAATTGACGCCGAAGGCCTTGGAAGAGATCATTGGAATGAAATGCTGGCTTACCCACGTAAGCCAATAACTCACTGGCACCCACTAGTAGAGGTAAGAAGTAGCAAAATTTTCTCCTTGATATTGAAGGATTTTGCCCCTCACATTTGTGGGCTTCTGAGAATCATGAAAATCAGTGCAGCACCTATAGATCAGATAGAAGATCATTAGCACAGCCTAAATCTAATTGCATGTATTTATCTATAATTTAAAAGGGCCATTTCAACAGTTTCCATGATGCTCTGATGGCATTGTAGGGTTACATTTAGATGCTTAAAATTCCAGAGATTTTGATAAAGAGCTTACAGCTACTTAGAAGAGATCATTTGCGAAAATTTCAAAAGCAATAATTTCTTATTCAAAAATCTTTAACATAAGCTGCTGTTGCTAAAACATTAATCTGTAACTGGCCTGCAAATTAGGCTAAATTGTGGCAACATACTAGCAGCTCCCTCCAGAGTTATTCAACAGCTGCTTACTGGAGCTTTTTCAAAGGTAGGGATGATTATATTTACAAGTCCCTGGGCTTGGACTCCCTCTGTGATCTGATGTGGCCACACATTGTTGGTGTTCTGTACACAAAATCCTCACAACTCTGGACTCAGAAAGATACATACTGAAGCCTTAGGAAGCAGCGGGGCACTGTTTAGCCCATCACAAAAGCAATCTGTAGAAAAATGAGTTGCTGCCTGAGGCCATGTGATTCCCCTACTCTGGAGCACATGGCTGCGCAACATGTCCTGTTAGAGATGGCAAAAGCAAAATATCAAGGCTTCAGTAAAACACCAAGAAGCTTGTGGGGGCAAGGAAACTGAGTCAAGGGAGCAGAGAAGTGTCTTTTAGAGACTCATGGCTCTGTCTGGTTTATGTAAATTAGGAGACAGGGGTACAACCCCTTTTGGTGAAATAAACCCATTCCTGTGAAATGAGTCAGAGGCATTTTTAGAAGGTCACTTCAGAAAATTTCTTTCCATTATTGCTTCTGCTGGAGACTTTGATCCAGAGGCTAGAAAGGGTCTGGATGTGATCTAGATTCTTTTTTGAGAGAGTCTCTCATCCTCTGAAATGAGCATGATGCACAGCCAGACATGATGACATTTGTAAAAATAATTTTTCTTGCAGCTACCTGGCCGAGCAACCAGTTTTGATAGCCAGGGATCCTGTTCCTCGCCCAAACCACCGCTTACGCCCTAGGGAGTCCGAATGGATCCATCATGCTCAGTGTCTAAAACTCCCCTGTAGCTCACATCTATATCAACAGAAGGTTTGGCTTCCACAGATGAACTGTACCCATATTTTTTTATCAAAATACATCTTTCCTATTCTAAGTCTTATATGAAAGTTTATAATAATTTGTTAAAGTGTGAACAAAGTTGACTCGAGTCAAATATAACCCTTCCTTGTGCAAATTCATTAATCTGTTTTATCTCTGGCATATATCCAGTGTCATATCCAAGCAGTGGTTTGATGGGGCCTGTATCTTTTCACAGGCAAGGGACCAGAAAAAAAATTCCCTTAAGTAATTCAAAACTACTGCACCTTTTAACGCCTAATTCTTTGGAGGAAGAAGAAATAGTCATATACAGCTAGTGTAGTAAATTCCTTCTAAATTGCACTAAATCTTCTGTGATTTTGCAAGATAGCACTTCAAACTGAATGTTACATGAAAAAAACCAACTGTTGTCATGTTTTGAGTATCTGGAAAATCAGTTCATTCCTTGGGCAGGGAGGAAGGGCTGATTTAAAGCCCTCTGGAACCAATGAGGCAGATCTACTGACTTCAGGGTGCTTTAGGTCCAGCCCTTCTGAAACAGGTATGAGAATTGGATCTATGCAGTTATAACCTTCCAGCACTCATGATGACAGCCACATCTCTACACAAATCAAACTGCAGAGGAGAGAATGCTCAGAAGTAAAGGAATTGATTTAAAGTGATTTATCTCTTCACAAAATTGACCAAATATTGCAGTTACCCAGAAAATTTTTGTGATTCTTGATTTAATGTGACAGACAGATTTCTTTGAAATTATTTTGACTGAGTGCACAGCACACATGGAATTTAGTTTCTGGTTGCTGGCTGGATGCCTCTAGACACATATGCTAAATATGAATTTGAGATGTGTTTTCTGTCAGTCTATGGACAGAGAAATCAAAATGTGACTATTTTACAAGCAAGTAAACTAATTTATTAGACTACACAGTGAAAGCAAATGAAAAAATCTATTGGCTGTAGTCAGATACTTTAAAAACTAGAGGACAACTACATATTATTTTGTGGATTTATCTCCAAATATTGCAGTTTACCTCAATCAGATAAATCAGATAGTTACTTTCTTTTTTTCCTTTTTTCTTTTCTTTTTTTTTTCTGTGAAGAGTGTAGCACAGACAGCATGGCTGGGACTGAGGTTTTGAAAGCTGGACTGTAATTAGAAAAAGTTGGGTGGTAGCACCTTTTGTATCTTTGCAATATATATGTAAAGAAAACAGAGGAGACTGTTTTCCAAAACAACAACTTTACAGAAATGTCATGCAGGAGAAAATCTACAAATGATGATTGATTTATGACAATGAAAGGAATTTTGATAATTAATTTTGTATTAAATGAAAAGGTTGTTTTGGCAAACTTCTGAAGAACCATTTTGAGTTGGTTTAGCCTGGCTGACATGTTCCTGAAGATCCAGTCCCTCCATGCCACTGACTAATCTCTAAGACAGTCAAAAATACCTTGAAGTGTCTTAAACTGCTCCAGAAAAGCTAGCAGGGCTGGTCTTAACATTGCAGGTGTACCTAAGACAAAAAAGGAAGCAGCTTTTATACCTTGCCTCCTGTGCCTATGAACACAGCAAGCAAGAAAATAAATATAAAAATCAATCTCTCAGATAGTCATTAGAAATAAGGGGGGAAAAAGAAAATAAAAGAAAGAAAAAAGGGATAAAAAGAAAAGGCTCTAGCTCAAGTTTTTGAATGCCTGTTTCAGGTTGTTATTCATGGCCTCTAAGTAGAAATGGTTTCTCCCAGAGAGGATTGGTAGTGCTGAACACTGATCCTCCCTGCTTGAGATTGTATTTTCATCACCATAAATACAGAGCAGCCTTGCAGAATTTCATTCCTCCTTTTGCTCTCGATGAGTAATTTGTTTTAATAGGAGAACAAGCTCTCCTCTCTGAGGTTTTTTCCCTCCCATCTTTGTTATCCTAACAAAATTCTGTGGCCTAGATAATTTTCAACATGATTTCTGCAAGGCTGATGCAGAAACATATATATATATATGGAGACTGAAAAACTATTTTATGTATACATTTATCTTAATATAAATTATATCAACAGTGGCCTTTGTGGCCTCAAAAATACTTTTTGTAATGTGGTACTGTAACGGTTAATTAAATATTCTTTGCACTTTTTTGCACCTAATATCCAAAAAGCGAACAAATTCACGATCAAATGTAGCATAAGTGTTCAGCAATGAGCAATGTGTTTTTACCTATCTTACTGTTCTCTGACTATCCTGTGTGTTTCCTCATAGGTAGTAAGGTATTTCACGATTTATTTTCTTAAATCTTCATTGTTGTCAAATGCCAAAGGCTCAGTTTGTGCCCCCTTGTTGTGTTATTTTTGGTATTGTTAATAACAACAGTGAATGACTTCTGTGTCTAAACTTGATTGATGGGTGCTCTGCATCTAGGAGAAATCAGGCTGCAAAATCATCTGGACATCTAGCTTCAAAAATGATCCCTTAAATAATTATCTTTATTCCCTTAGCAGTGATTAATAGAATTAGTGAAAAAGATATTTTTCCCCATTGTTTCCTTAGCCATCTCAAAAGACAGGATAGGTACTTAGATTAACTCATCCATTGGTTTAAGAGCCTTTTCACAAGTTATTCCCTGTGACATCACTGAAGCACCAAGAGCTTAGCACAGTGTAAGTCAAGGAATATGTTGCTTGATGTATATCATTATTAAGGAATTTTAAATATTTTAATTTGGAAATTTGGAGAAGCTGCAAGTTCTCTACTCCCATCCAGATTTTTTTCTCTGCTTATCCACGTTTCTTCTATATCTCATGCATTACCCTAATTTAGGAAAAAACAAATGTGGCAAAAGGCTGGTTTAAGATATCTTGTAGTACTTTTACAACAGTTAGAAAATCTTCTTTTCCTAAAGGCCTGAGCTATTTTGCTTGAAGCAGTTTACTGGAAAATGCACCAGTACTTAATAAGAATTGTATTTGCAGGGTTTCACACTGCACAGGTGAGCACAAGCTCACAAAGATTTAAGTCATGTACTGCACTCCATGACCTCAGCTTTGGATCCCAGCATTTTACAGTTCTGGTGACATGGCCCTTTCCCTCACCCTCCCAGAAAACAACCAGCTCTTTCCTCACCATCTTTTGTCTATGCTGGACTTAGGAATATGAATATTGGTCAGAGATAAAGTGGCCAGCAACTTCCCCTGCAAAATTTCTTCTTCAATAAATGCAATTCTTTGGACTACTTATTTTTAAGTAACAAAATTGTATATTTTTCTTAAAGAATCACCACCACTTCCAATATTTTTGAAGAATATATTAAGCTACCAATAAATGTTTTCATTGGGTTGATTTTTTTCAAGGGAAAAAGCAATTACCTAGTTTCTTTCTGTGGATGCATTTTTGGAGCAATATTAAGAAAAAGTTTAGTTAAAAGATTCATTTGATCTATCCTTTTCTCCTCTTTCTCAGCTTTTTAATTGGATTCAATGCAATCCTTTTAAAATTTTTTAACATAATGATGTACAACATATACATGATAGTCTAGTTAAAAGATTATTTTGCTATCTCTTTTTTATAAACTTTTATATGTACTAGCTTTTATTATACTCCATTAATTTTACAGGCTTTATACATCTGAAATCATTTGTCTGTATTTTTTGGGTGAGCAAACATTCAAAAGAATGGTATTTCAGAACTCAGTAATAGAGTTCTTCTGCTGAAAATATAACATTGTTCAGAAATCCATAAATGTGCCTGCCAAATTTGAAAATCACCTTATTTGAGCATGCAAAAAACCTAGGTTTGCACATACAAGTATTTGCACTTGCTAGATGTACAATCACTATTATTTAGCACCACTGTTACAACAGAACACCCACACCTAATCAGAAATACATTGCAGTTCATTATAAACACCTGACAAATGTGCACTGAGTGACAGTTCCTTGACCTGAAAAGTTCATATGACATTTCTACAAATGAACATGCTTGAAAATTAGGTAGGTGTTAAGATATGGTGTATATGTAAATCAGACAGTGAGGTGACTTTTGGACAAAGCTCATGTAATATGTGTTGGACAATCCAAAATATGGGTAAAATATACCAAATATATGAGAACTATTAATGCAGGTTTTGATGGGACATTTTCTCTCTCATTCACACCATAGCACAAATTTAGTTTAACTCAAGATTCACTTTCATTTAGCTTCTGAGTCTTGCCAGTCTAAACTGAGCTCTGTGAAAACAGTTAAATTATGGCACAGAGCAGACCCAGAGCTAGGAAAGATGAAGCAAAATGTGGCAGTAGACACAAAGCTGTTCCATGCAAATGCCCTGAAATGGAAACCTTCCCTCTGTAACAGATTCCAACAGTTTTACCACTTGTCCTTTCTTTCTCTGCTGTAAAATGGGACAAAAGAAGCACATTCCTGAAGAAGAATCAGCATTAGGCATAGGAGTTAATTGAGGTGCTGATCACAGCTATTTGCCTTTTCCAAGGCAAAAACTACATTTACTTCTAAAAAAGTGTCTTTAGTTTACTCATCTAAATGAATAAATATCTCCTGCACAAGGCACTTTTCCTTAACCCTTGAAAACGGCAGTTTTTTTAACAGCATGAAGGAAACCAGGAGCTAGAAATCTAAGAGAAAGTGAAGCTGCAGGTGGGATTTGAATTTCACAGGGCAATCTGGTCAGGAAAATGGAACTAACAC